GGAGGAGGGAGGGGTGGAAGGAGGGCTGTGTGCTGGGCAGGGGGGGGGAGCAGGAGGCAGGGGTGGTGCGCGGGCGGTGTGGAGGTCTGCCGAGGCAGCAGGGAGGGGGAGGAGGGCTGGCAGCAGCTGTTGGCTGGGCCTCAGCGTGCGGCGCCGCCTGGGCCCTCTGCTGCCCGGCCCCCACAGGTCCAGCTCATGGCCGACACCAGCATCCTCATCACGCCCTGCGGCGGCCTAGCCACGGTGCTGACCTTCCTGCCGCCGCAGTCCACAGGTGGGCCAGGGGGGATGGGGGTGGGGTGCAACGCGCCGCGGCCGAGAGCCCATACAAGGTGTCTCGGGGGGCTCCCCGGGGGGCGCTGCACGGCGCTGCTCACGGCCGCGCCCACCACCACCACCACCACCGCCGCCAGTGGTCAGCTGGAGGCTTGCGGGCTGCGCTGTGCTGCGCCCTGACCCGACCCCGCCCTCCCCGCCCTCCCCCGCGCCCCGGGCGCAGCCATCGTGCTCAACTATTGGAACACGCTGCTCAACCGTAGCCTGCAGATGGAGGACAACTACTACCAGTGAGCCCTCCCTGACCTGCCCTGACCTGCCCCCATGCAGCGCCGCCGGCCAGCGGCCCACGCAGCGTGCCGCCGGCGGCACGCCGCTGCGCCTCGCTGGCCCACGCAGCGCGTGTGCACGCACACGTCCCCTCACCCACCTCGCGCTCTCAGTGCCCACACCAGCGCCACGCACCGCCTACCCCCCCCCCCCCCCCCCCACACACACACACACACATGCACACCCCGCAGGCACATGGAGTATCTGGACTTCCAGTACATGCCCGTCACACCGCAGGACTACGAGGCAACCACGTGAGAGGCCTGGGGGGGAGGGAGAAGGGGGCCTGGGAGGAGCTGGGGGGACGGGGCCCAGCTGGGGGAGCGCTGCACGTGGCGGCAGAGGGCTTGCCGATGAGCAGGGCACCGGCAGCCTGCGCGCGCCTCGTCCCCCGCCCAGCACCGCCCACCCCTGCCTGCCTGCCTGCCCACCCCTGCCCGCCCACCTCGCCCGACCCATGCTGCCTGCCGCGCAGCGACCGGCCCGAGTGCGAGCTGGTGGAGGGCGGGGGGCGGCTGGAGGACTCGCACTACGGCCTGCTGGGCTCCCTGGTGCACTGCAACCTGATGTTCCGGGAGGCGGGCCTGCAGCGCCTGCTCACGTATGTGGACAATGCCATGCAGCGGTGGGCGGCGCGGCGGGGGCGGTTCGATGTGCTGGCGGGGCCGCGCAAGGCAGGCCGCCAGGGGCAGGCAGGCAGGCGCGGCGGCCGCGGCGGCACCGAGGAGGAATAGTGGGCCAGGGGCGGCCTGCGGCTGGCCCCGTGCACGTGCGCTGTCCGGGCCACGGGGAGGGCAGCAGGCGCCCGAACCTTTTGACTGCTCTCGCGAATTCTTTCTTGCGAACCTTTTGGCCCTCCTCCTGCTCACTGCCTTTGTACCCGTTTTACACCACTTTCCCATTTGATGTACGCTTCTTCCCGTCCGGCCCACCGCCATGCATCAGGGTGTAGCGACATGTTCCAGACGCTGCGCGCTGCTGTGCACCAGCAGCCTTGTAAACTCACGCGGTGAGGGGAAGGAAAGAAGGAGATGAAAGGAAGGAGAGAGAAATTAGAGGAGGTATCTAAGGAGGTACTGCCGAGCTTGTAGGGGGGCGGTTGTTCCGCGGATGCATGATTGAAAAAGAAGACGAGTGAAGGAATCATGAGAGATCGGGGGTGGGGTGGGGTGGCAGGGCCAATGGTGGCCAGCCAGCTGGGTTGCCGCGGTGTGTGGATGACCGGTGCGTGTGTGTGTGGACACATCACACGCTCAGGGCGCGACTTGCACACCAAAGCGGTGGGAGAATCCGGCGGGGACGATCTTGTTGCTGCCGTTGGATAGGCTGCATGGCAAGGGCAGGGCAGCAGTTGGTGGTGAGCGAGCGAGCGAGAGAGAGAGAGAGCAGAGGCAAGTTTTCCACAGCTGGGGCATGGGAAACCCCTGCTGCTTTGTGGCCGGCCATGCAACCCCGCCCGCACCCCCTTCAGCAGGATGCCATGCGCGGACAGCTCACGTGACTGCAATCTGCATGGTGCTGGAAGCCTTGGACGCCAGCTGCACCGACTCGCAGACCACGCCGGGGTTCCAGGAGGCATACGGTATGCACTGCATCTGCAATTGTCCAGGCAGCGGGCACGGCAGGCTGGGTTGTTCGGGGAACACACAAATGAAAAAAACTCTGGCTCCACCTGGTGGCCACACGGCAGGCCTGCTGGGCAGCGTGGACACAGCTGGCGACAGGCCAGCATACCCGGATGTTGGTGTTGGCGGCTAGCGCAAAGTAGGAGTAGAGGTAGAAGGTGCGCTTCTCGCCGGGCAGCCAATCCTGGGAGATGGACAGCCTGACCCACATGCCCTGCGGGGCGGTCGCCACAAGCGCAGGCGGCACAGGTTGGGGGCCTGGCCTGGGCCGGCGTGCACAAAGCCAGGCATGCACGGCGCTGGCAGCGGGCGCACATGCATGCACCATCAGAGCAAGGCACAGCTGCCTAGTGTGGAGGTGGGATGAGGAGGAGCGGAGGGTCAGGGCGGTACCTGCTCCATGACTGGCTTGCCGGCGTTGAAGAAGCTTGGGGCGTCCTCCGTCCTGGTCAGAGCCCACTCACCCCCCGCTGCACCACGGACGGCCGGGAAACAGAACCGGTTCACGGGGGAGGGTTTGGGGTTCGGCGCAGTCATGGATAGCACGACAGCACACAGGCTCGGTCCCAGCCCAGCCAGCCAGCCTGCAGCTGACCCCAGCCTACCCCAGCCCACCTCCATTGTTGCCCATGCTGAGGGTGTTGTTGCTGCTGTCTGGGCCGAACACAAAGAGGCGGCCCGTGATGGAGCCGCTGGTGAAGATATAGATGAAGGAGTTCCTGCACACCACATGCACAGGCAGGGGCGGTCAGCAAGTGGGCGCAGCCATCAAGGCGACAGCCGCAGGTGCCAGCAAGCGCAGCATCCCTGGCGCTCGGTAGAAGGCGATTTGCAGGTGGTGGGCTGGGAGGGGCAGCTGTCTGCAACTGCCCCGCCCTTGCTCACTTGAAGCGCCCATCCACCAGCGCGCCCTGCGCCTCAAACCCGCCGTTCCAGCAGTCAGAGCGGAACAGAAAGTTGCTGACGGGCTTGGAGGTGTCTGTCTTCACAGCAGCCCACGGCGTGCGCACCAAGAACTGGGCGGGGTCCATTGCCTGCACCGCAGGGGCAGGAAGGGGAGTGCAAGCCACTCACTGATTGCTCCTGCCCTGCAACTTGGCCGTTGATTTGGCCCCAGGCACCCCAAAGGTGGCTTGATTATGCCCGACGGCCTGCAGCTGGCTGCACAGGCGTGCCACAGACCTGCATGATGACACGTGTGTTCTGCAGGGATGGGTTGCCACCCTTGAACGTCGTGCCGCCAGAGGGGCTTCCGGGCTGCTTCGACCCGCCTGCAGCATAGATGTGAAGCGCACCCCACGGCAAGCAGCCGCTGCTCAGGGGCACATGGTGCGCGGACGAAACCGACAGCAGAACATGCACAAGAGGCCGGCAGGGTTCAGCAGCCACCAGCTGTCCCGCCACATGCTGCCCAGCGGCAGGCGGCCCTCACCCATCAGCTCGAAGTTGATGCGCACGACGACGTCCCGGAACAGGGCCTTGTCCTGGGAGGAGTAGAGGACTGTGGTGAACTGGTTGTTCTGCAGGGGATCGAAGCGGGGGCCAGGGTAGGGCGTGGCAGGTCAGGCGAGGCCGGGGCGGCGCGGGGCAGCATGGTGGGGCCGGGCGCCTGCACCAGGAACGCGTGTGCCAGCGCCCACCCCAGCCGCCAGCCCAACCGCTGCTCCCCGGCCCCAGCTGACCCACCTGGGTCACCGACACGTGGCTGATGGTAATGTTGGTGAGGGGCTGGGCCACCGAGGCTGCCAGCACCATCCCCTCGTTGTTGTTGGTCACAAAGCCCGCCTGGATGTTGGCGTTGCTGACGCCGGGCTGCAGCGCAGGGAGAGGGGACCGGCTTCAACTTGCTGCGGTCAAATGCACCATGATGGCCCAGCAAACAATGACGGCAAGGATGGGCGACCCAGCAACGTACCAGCAGGCGCAGGCCCCATCTGGCAAAGTTGAGGATGCCACTGAATGACATGGGCATGAGGTAGCTGCCTGAGAGCAGTGTCACGCCCTCGCCTGCAAGCACACACGCACGCACGCATTGATGCTTCTCAGACCAGTGAAACAGCTGGGTGGCCACTATGGCAGTGTCAATCTGCTGCGCAGCCCGCAGACGGCCACCCCCCCCTGTCTGCTGTGCAGCCAAGGTCCTGCTGTGCGTGCTGCGCCCACCTGAGCCGCTGCCCACGAGGAAAGCCTTGGCGTTGGCAACGAAGCCGTTGCGGGGGTTGAGGGCCACCCCTTGGTCCAGGTTCAGGCTGATGGTTTGCATCAGGGTGCACGGCAGCTCGCAGCTATCCGCGGCAGCCTGCAGCGCCCTCGACTCTGCAACCAAGCAGGCAGTGTGCGATCGCCAGCATTGCCGTGGCAGGCGGCAGGACCGGCCGAGTGGAACACTGAGAGCACCTGCTGGTTTGGCAGCAGGTGGGTGGATGCACACGCATCCAAGGGAGTTGCAGGCAGCCAGAGCGGGCACTCACGGCTCCTGTCGGGCCCAATCCACCACTGAGGGTACACCTCCAGACCCGCAGTGCCAAACACCACTTTGCCTGCACGCGGCGGGGGGGAGCCCAGTTTGCACAGGAGGGCCTGCTGGCCTGGTGCGGCATTGCACAGCAAGGCCAGCCCTCCGGCAGTTGCAGACGTCGGCGCACGGCACAGGTCATGCATGCCTTGCCTTGCCTTGCCCGGCGCGGCAGCCCCAGCCATCCAGCCACCCACCTGGGCCGGCAAACATGGGGTCGTTGTTGAGAGGCGCGCGCTTAGGCTGCCGCAGCAGGCGCAACGTCACCCCGCCGTCCACGTAGAAGCGGGTGGAGGCGCCTGCGTGGTGCAGCAGGGGACACCGCCAGCCAGCCCGATCGAGCTGCGTCAGGCAACCACAACAAGGCCGTGCCACCAGGCGCCTCCTGGCGCAGCCACCGCGTCGGCCCGCCCCTGCCGCGCCTCGCGCCCCGCAAGTGACCGCTCTCCTCACCCATCAGCACAGTCTTGGCCAGGGTCAGGGAGGAGCTGATGCGGTAGACGCCCACTGGGAAGAACAGCAGGCTGCCCGCGCTGCGGTCCGCCTGCTGCAGCGCCGGCGCGTCGTTCTTGAAGCCGTCCCCGGCGGCGCCGTAGCCGCGCACGGTGCCGCCAGACAGCGGGCACCCGGCCTGGATGCTGCTGAGGGTGGGCGGGGAGGGGGCCAGCGCGGTTGGGGGGAAGGAGACGTCGGTGGCGGGGGGGTTGGGGGAGATGGGGGTGACAAAGCGGGGCTGCACGGGGGTCAGGTCCCAGCTCTGCAGCGGCAGGCAGGTGGCAGGGGGGTCAAAGTGCGACTGGGGAAGCCCGGGATGCGATGCGGGGCACTGGGCTGCTGCCTCACCGGTGTGGGAGGCGGGGGGCTGGGCGGGGAGGGCGAGGGTGGCGGAGGAAAAGCCCGGGGCGGCGGCGGCGAGGGAGATGGCGGCGCGGGAGATGGCGGCGCGGGACTGCGCAGCGGCGAGGTGAGGTTGAAAGGGAGGTCTCCAGAGGGTGCGGTGCACCTGCAGGGGGGAGAAGGAGGGTGTGGGCCTCGGTTGAGACGCATCCGCGGCCTCCATCCCTTGCGTCCATCCATCCGTGCACCGCGCCTCGCCCTTCCGCACCCCTACCTCCCCTTCCCACGCTGCAGCTGCCACCCACCCACCTGTAGGTGAAGGTGAGGGACTTGCGGGCGCCGGGGCAGGGGTCCCCAAACACGGCGTTGGAGGCAAAGACAGCGCAGCTGCGCTGCGCCAGGCAGGCCGACTCCATGACACTGCGTGCAGGCAGGGCAAGCGCAGGCATGGGCACGCCGACATTCCCTCGAGCGCCGCGCCAGCCGCGGCCCCACGCAGCGGCGGCCAGGGAGGCAGCAGCATGCTGCCTGCCTGCCAGCCTGGGAGACGGCCCCCACCAGCCACCCACCCGCCCACCCACCTGTATGACAGCGTGGAGTTGCAGCCAATCTGCAGCTGGCCGAAGACGGGCCAGATGATGGCGGAGATTGCTGCGCCCGCCATCACGCACGTCGGCCGCGCCACCAGCCCCTCGCTCACCCTCAGCGTCGTGTCCATCTGCACCCACCCGGAGGGCTCCTCGGGGAAGCTGCACCAAACAGCCGGGGCCAGCAGCAAGGCGGCGCCGGCGCCGTAAGCGACAGCACCCCAGCTGGGAAGGTGTAGCCAAGGCAAACACAGCACATGCAGGGAGGCATGCTGTGCCACCCCCTCTCGCGCCCAAATGCTTCCTGTCCTTGCCTCCCCAGCATGCCGAGGCACCGCCAGGCACCACCCTAGACCGCCCGCTGCACTGCGGCGCCCCCCGGCCCGCTCACGCGTCCTCCCCGCCTGTGGCGGGCGCCTTGCCGCCGTCGTCATCCAGGTCCAGCCCCGCGGTGAGGCTGGCCAGGTGGTCCGCCACCTGGCCCACCACAGCCTGTGGCGCGGCAGGCGGCGGCAGCAGTGCTGGCTGTGAGCCTGATGCAGCTGGCAGCAGCGGGACAGCCCCATCATGCGGCTGGATGCAGCCTGGCATGGCAGCAGGGAGCGTTCCGTGCCGGATCTGCACAGCCCAGGCACTCGCCAAAGGTGTCCCTCCCGCTCACCCGTGAAGTGTCAGACTGCACGCCCAGCGCAGGGGCCTTGTCACCGCCAGGTGGGGAGGGCGCTGGCGGTGACGGCGGCGGCATCTGCCAGTACTCATACTCTGGTGGTGCAGGCACAGCCGGGCTGGCGGCCAGCCAGCGCCGCGCGCCGCCGCCGTTGCTGCCCGCCGCCGCGACGCTGCCGCTGGCCTCTAGCCGCCGCCTGTGCGTATTCCGCCGGCTCATGTGGTCATTCAGGCCGTTTGGCGTGGCCAGGCCCTCGCCAGCGGCGTCAGCAAGGTGGGTGGCTGGCGCGCAGCAGCATGCGAAGACCAGCAGCAGCAAGGAGGTGCGCCCCCACCCTCGGGCGGTCCTGACCGCCTTCGCCATGCCCACTGCTATTTGTGTCGCCCCGAGTAGGGCGGGGAGGCAGGTGGCCAGCTTCCGCAACCAACGTCCGTTAGCAGGGCGCGGGTCTTGGATGGCTGGGAGGCGGCGTCACAGGAGGCTGTTGCAGGAGGGCAACACGGCAAGACAGGCCGCAGGTGCTGGGTGGCCGCCACGGGCGCCCGCGCTCTAACCGCTGAGAGGGAGAGGATGAAACGAGCCGCGCCAGGCCTGGTTAGGAACTCGGGATGGAGTATAATTGATGGGAGGTGGAACAAATGAGATTTCGGTGGTTCTGAGGCTCGGTCTCGCGCATGTACTGCAGTATACTGCCTGGCAAACCCATTCACGAAACCCCAGCTCGGGCCGCCGGGGCATGTTTAACGCCCCAAGCGTGAGAGTTACTCGCCAAGAAACACCTGTAGCGGGGCTTATGCTCTTCTTCCTCGGTGCCCATCTTTAGATCGCGGTGCCCGTCTCCCTCTTTCTCCTCCTTCCTCAAGACGCAAAGCCTGCATGGGTATACTGGAGTGGTGTTCAGCAGGCACAGCGGCCGAGGGGCTCCCGCAGGTGCCTGGTCGCGGCGGCGGCGGCGGCGGCGGCGGCGGCGCTCACCACGGCTTGAGCAGCTCGCCCGGCGGGTCGACCAAGGGCCTGTCTGATGACGGCCTGCACAAGAGCAGCTTGTCCCTGAAAGGCAGCGACAGTTTGAATGATGGGCAGCAGGCAGAGGAGGGCGACTGGGCCTTTTATGGCGTGGACGCCCCCCGCCGCCCGCTGCTGCGGCGCAGCGAGGGCGCGGTGGGCGCCTGGATTGTGCTGTCGCTGCTGGTGGCGCTCGGCACCAACATGGCGGTGGGAGGTAGGGAACACTGCCTGATTTCCTGGTGTGCCATGCCAGTGTGCCGTGGCGGCACCCAGTAGCGAGGGCAGCAAGGCGGCAGGCGTCGTGCAACGCATCATCATGCACTCCTCACCCACCGCCTGACCCTTACCTGCCTGCAGTTACCAACATCCAGCAGCACAGCATTCCCACAGTGGCAGCACCTCCTCCTTCGCCCAGCCCGCCGCAGCCGCCGCAGCCGCCACGGTGAGCTGCGGACATGCGGGGGTGTTGAGGGTGCGGGCGGAGACACACAGCAGCAGCATGGGAGGAAGTTGGCCTGTGCTTCCGACAAGCAGCAAAAGCCATGTGGAGGCGGGGGTTTATGCATGTGCTCACTGTCGAGCTTGCGCCGCGTAGGCCACCGCCGCCTAGCCCATCGCCACCGCCGCCCAGGCCTTCCCCGCCGCCGCCCAGCCCCTTCCCGCCGCGCCCGCCGCCGCCCATGCCGCCCTCTCCATCGCCGTCGCCGCCCCCGCCAGCACCTCTGAGGAAACGCAGGAAGGAGGAGCCGGATATTCTACGTGAGCGGGGGAGCCTCCGAGCGGGGGCACACCGGACGTGCCGCGCCACCTGCCATGCTTGTTCATTATCAATTGAAGCATGCCTCAGCAGCACTGCTCTCTGCCCTCTTCCAGCGTCACAACATATTTCTGCCCGGCCCGCGCCGTGTGCCTGCAGCGCCCCCCAGCCCCCCTTCGCCGCCTCCCTTCTGCGTCATTGCGCCGGCCAGGCAGCAGAGGGAGCGGTTCAGCGACTTGCGGGCTCAGCTCCCTGAGGTGCGGTCGCCGCTGGCCCCCACAGCTGGGAGTGTGTGGGGTGCCTACCCAGCTTCCCCCTGTTGCTGGCCAGCGCATGCTGTGACCCTGCCCTCCCGCTCCCTGCAGGACGAGGCCTACTATGTCGCCAACTCGATTGAAGGCGAGGTGGCAGACGAGGCCACCGGCATGCGATTCCCGCCATACGTGAGGCTGCGCGTGCATGCATGCCGGCCTGCCGGGTTGGACTGCGAGGGGAAGCGGCAGGGCCAAGCCAGCTGCCTGTGCCGCGTCAAGTGTGTGCCCACTTGTGTGCCCACTGTGCTGCTGTCGCAGTATAATGGCGCCGACCCAGCAAACTGCGTGGTTCGTGTGATTGGTGAGTTGTGGGCGGGGCGGCATGTGCCTGCCCAACTCCCCTGTTCAACGCCGCCCTTTCTCACATGCTCCTGATGTGTGTGCGTGTGTGCAGCGACCTACACCTGCCTGTCCGGAGATATAGAATGCAACAGCAACCTGGACGCTGCACGGCGGCTCTGCCAGGTACAGACAGAGCCCAGGGCGCTGTCCCAGACAGCATCGTGGCCGGGCATGCATGGGGATGCGCCGCTCAGATTGCCACCCCCCTGCCGCGTCCCTGGTGCCATGCAGACCAGCTGCAGCAACACCGAGGGCTGCAACATCGACATGAGCCGCACCCACCCCTTGTTTGGGCGGGTCTGCGGCTTGCTTGGTGGCGCCCGGCCGGCGTGCAGGTAGGTGGTGTGCCGGCTTGTGGCTGCCCAGCCAGTCCGGGATCCCATGCACTTGGTGGGGCAGCAGGGTGCAGCAGCTGCCCCGTGATGCCTGCCTGCCCGCCCACACCTGCCTGCTCATGCTGCTGCAGCGACGGCGGAGCGTCCCCCGAGGGCCTGCGGCAGCTCAGGGCCACTTACCAGATCAACGTGTGCATGGCGCCCCCCGCGCCTCCCCCCAGCCCTCCCCCACCGTCGCCGCCCCCCATCGTGTTTGAGTATGTGTATTACTGAGCTGGAGTGATTGATTGGCCCAGCGGGTATGCAATTGTGTGCCACAGATGTGAGCACGGGAGGCAGGGGCAAAGTGGCTGGACGTGCTCTCTCTCTGTAGCGAAGAAATTGAGAAGAAAGACCAAACTGGAAACACGCTAGGAAATGATGAGACTGTAGAGTGGGAGGGGAGCGGCAGGGTGAGACGAGCGGGAACATGAGGGGTCAGCACATGGCAACAGCCACATGCGTTAGTGTGTGTATGCGTTGTGAACAAATGTGTGTTCAGTCGCGGTTCATTCGCTGCGCAGCACGGTGGTTGACCACCAAACGCATCATGCGTCGTATTGCTGTGGAGCAATGGTGGGTGGGTGGTGCGGGGTGGAGGGGGCGTGCTGTGGGTACAGCTGTGGTGCTCATGAAACAAGGCGGGCAAGGAATGCGGAGAATACAAGGGATGTGCGGGAATGTACAGCACCCCGAACGACATGCACGGCGCAGGCAGTGGCATGGTCGTTTGACGTGTGACGAATGAGGGCAGACATATGGATAGGGGACTGTTGGCGTGATGAAGATTGAGGGAAGGGGCCCTGCCACTTGCTGAAGGAAGAAAAACTCCATTTCAGTATCGGCTGGAGTGAATGAAATCGGGCATCGCTGCAGCAACCAGTGCTCAGCGCCTAGGGAGTGCCTTGACGCCGGCGAGCTCAGCCAGGGCCGATTTGAACGCCAAAATACTGGGCGCTCTGGGCAGGAAGCACTTTCCTGCTCAGGTTGATCAGCCTGCAACGCATGGTGGAGCAGGGGGATGTCATGCTGGCGAATCAGGCACGGCACAGCGACAGCAACAGCTTGCGGCGGCGCTGCGGCTGCACCGCAATCCCTGGCAGCGCACTTGATGGCGACGCGGTAGGGCTCGTTGGGGAGCGGCGCGCTGGCCACAGACAGGCAGTAGATGCCGGGGTTGAAGCGCTGGAAGGGGATGCACCCCATCTGCACCAGTAGCAGCAGGAGGGAGGGCGGGGCGGTGAGCCGCGCGTCGGCTGCCGCGCCGGAACCAAATGGCGACGGCATGGCCCACAGCCGCCGGCGAAGGCCGCACGCACCCTGGAGCCGCTTAGGGCGGGTGAGGCAAAGTAGGTGTGGAGGTAGTAGGTGAGCTGCTGGCCCGGCGCCCAGTCGCTGCCCGTCATCAGCGCCACCCAGAAGCTCTGCAGCACGGGGGACGGGCATGGGTGGGTGGCGTGGCGCAAGTGGGGCGGGGTGCGGTAGCGGGGGTATCAAGCGGAGTGGGTTGGGCTGCTGGCGGGCCTTGGGTCGCGCAACTGAGTGGGGCCGGCGCTGGCTGGCTAACGCAGGCGGCCCAGGCTCACCTGGTGCCTCACGGGGCTCGCAAACTGCAGCGGGAAGGGCTGCGGGGGGGAGCCCGGGTTGGCGCCGATGAACTGCGCCAGGGTGCCGGGGGCGCCCACCAGGGACCAAAAGGTGGCGGCTGCACACCAGCGGGGCGCCACACAACACGCGTACGAAGATAAGGGAAGGGGAGGGGACGCGGGCGCGTCCCCGGGCGCGCAGCGCAGCGGGGAGCCCAGCGGGCGTGCCGGGGCCCAGGCAGGCGGGCAGGCGGGCGCGCGGCAGCGGCGCCGCCGCTCACGTGCCGCCGCCTCCTGCTTGGACACCCAGTTGTTGGCGCTGCCGGCCTTGAAGCTCCACACACCGCCCCCCACCAAGTCCGAGAAGAAGATGCGGAAGGAAGAGTTGCGGAAGGCGCCTGACACCTGCGTGCCGGGCATCGCGTAGCCGCCGTTCCAGCAGTCGGAGCGGAACACAAAGTTGCTGACGGGGCCGCTGGTCTGGGTGGCCACTGCCGCAAACTGGGTGGGATCCTCAG